GCAGGGGCTCACGTGCCCGCACAAATGGTTCTGCATGCCACCTGTAGCATGCTTGCCATAGGTTCACCATCGGGTGTACTGTAATGATGCTATATTCTTTCTTGAAAAACAATGAAGTTAACTTGGATTAATGCTTACATCATATAGAAATTAAGAGCAATGATAGTCACAAAAGTGGAGAGGATATTTTTATATTACACTTGAAACTATTAACACAGAGGTCTCTGTGTATTCCATATTAGCACTTGCTCACTAGAAGTTGGTTCTAATCCTAATATTCTTTTGAGCAACTTGTAATGTGGGACAATGCATTGCTTTTATCCAGTTAAACAAAAGTGCAACAAGTCACTGTTGACTTATGCAAACCTACAACAGAAATTAGACATTTGAAACTTCAGATAAATGGGATTGATTTAAAATTGAGGTATTGTTGTATATGAAAAACATTTTCTTTTACTTGCAACCCCAATATAGATTTGAAATATATCAGGACTTTGTCAAGGCCACACAAGCAAACTTCAGTTTGTACAAAGAACCATCTGTTTTTGCATCTATTTTAGCCTGTTTAGTTTGACCACATTTCAGAAGGAGAGAAATAAAAGAGAACAGCATTCAGTTCTAACAGCATTCAGAAGTCTTTAGAGAAATACTTCTGTCACAAATGTCAGTTAATTTTCAAAACCAATATTGTTGCTTTCAATATAAATATCACATTTCAACGAAGTTTGGTAGAACAATCCTTCCCATCTAGATTTCTGCATTCAATTTTGAAAATTTAGCTAATCCTGCTTCAAAACTGCATAATTTCATTATGGTGTAGTAGACTGGTATGTGTTCAGCAAAACCCAAACAGCCCAAAGATATCTCAGAATTTGACAATGGAATCTTACTGAATCTGGTGCTCGAGATGAGTGACAAAATAGAATGGGATACCTTGTTTCAAAGCAACATTTGGTAATGGTTTACATTTAAGCAATTTCCAGGGATACTATTAATAGCCATGAAAGAGAACATTTCTGAACTAAGTTTGTTAAAAAAAAAACCCAAGGGAGTGATAGAACTCTGTCCTGTCCTTAGCTTTTTCTAATTGTATCTAAAGCCAGATCTTGTATTTATTTTTGCAGCTTATTTATTTTATAACTTCATTACTGAATGCTTTCTGTAGTATTGCTTCCAAAGTTATCTTTTATCGGGAGGGAAGTGTTGTCATTGTTCAGTGTCAATAACAACTTGCCCATAACTATCACATGCATTTTCTTCTTCTACAGCAGGATTTGTATTTCTATAATAATGCAGATTATTCGTTATTTACTATGATGCTTCTGTGGGATTTTCTGACTTCTCCACCTGAACCCTAGAATTGCCTGAAATATTCATCCAAGGCTAGATTAGCTTTCAAATTGTTCTGTCCCTGCCAAGACTAATCCATTTTTAATGTGTGTTAGTTTTGTAATCCATGGCTCATCAACATTTACAACAATTCAGCATGTTCTCACATTAGCCAAAATCTGAATACCAGAACATTATAAACTGTCAAAATGTATCAGGGGTAAAAGATACTTTTGGGGGGGGGGTCTCTGACACCCACCAGCTCCATGACATCATCATGGAGGAGTGGAAGAGGACTCCAGTGGCAACCTGTGAAGCTCTGGTGAACTCTATGCCCAAGAGGGTTAAGGAAGTGCTGGAAAATAATGGTGGCCACACAAAATATTGACACTGGGCTCCATTTGGACATTATCACTTAGGGGTGTACTTGCTTTTGTTGCCAGCAGTTTAGACATTAATGTGTGTTGTGTTATTTTGAGGGGGTAGCACATTTACACAAGCTGTATACTTACTACTTTACATTGCAGCCAAGTGTCACTTCTTCAGTGCTGTCACATGAAAAGATAGACCTAAATATTTATAAAATGTGAGGGGGTGTACTCACTATACATATAAAAGCGAAATACCACTGACATGATCACAAAATCTCCAGAACCGTAAAGCCAACAAACTTGAAATTTGGCATGTATGTTCCTCTTGGCTTCTAGATGCTCACTAAGAATTTTTCGAAATGACCATCAGAGCATTAGTATTTCATATATTATTATTAACATGCTCTGATGCCAAGGAGTTCTACTCCCTACCTGAAAAGAAATCTCTCCCAGAGAGGAGTTTCAGTTTCAGTTTTACTTTCACAGCAGCAAGCAGCTTTACTACAGAGCAGTTGAGCAAAGCCATGCCCAGGCTCCTTGCTGTCTCCTTGCTCACGCAGCAAATACTGTTTCGGTTTTCAAACAGTCAAGTCTCACGCTGACACTATGCTAGCTAGATGAATACAGTGGATGCTGGTAGGCAGAGGCAGCATTCCCCCCCCCCATTTCCCTCCCCCCCAAAGTGGTCCGATCACATAGTTTCGTAGCGAACACAGGGACCCTGCTACTATTAACATATACATTAGCCAAAGGATGCTGAAATAGTCTCCACTGCCACTTCCATGCACCTTGAGGACCAAAGTCATCTGTAGATAAAAAGTGATCTTGGACTTCACTGAATTTCCTTACTTCATTCTTCACATACTCCTGCCCCTCTTTTGGCAAAGATAACCAGTTGCAGGCACTTCTGCCACATTTAACAATGTGGGGAGCTAAGAAAACCCCTCCCCCATAGTTTGCCTGAGGCTCTGAAGGGGAAATCACTGAAGTGATGCCCACATTAAGGAGAGAGCTTTCCACAGATCCCAGCCCCTGAAGCCTCAAGCCTACCAAGAAATACTTCTACTACAAAGTTGCTTTAAAAATAGAGCGTGGAAAAGAAATACAATAGTGGAATACTTAAGCAGAGTTGAGAAGGTTCAGATATTCCTCCTTCCCTCTTTTAGGGCAGGAGACTTTGGAGGTTGTTCCATTAGAATTCCGTATTAGAACTCCTGCCCTAAAAAAGGGAAGGAGGAATATCTGAACCTTTTGAACTAATGTATTCCACTATTATATTATTTTATATGTGTGTGTTTGTGTGTGTGTGTGTGTGTGTGTGTAAATGAATAGAGTAACAGCTGGAAGGAACCTTGAAGGTCTTCTAGTCCAGCAGTTGCCAACCGGTGGGCCGTGGCCCATTTTGGTGGGCCACAGAGAAATCTCACCTCCCAAAGCAATTAATCCAGGCTGCGCAGAAACACAAGGCTGCCCCGCCCACATGATGTACGGGAACCCTCCCCGCCCACCCACTCCTTACCCAGGAAACTTGCCTGCTAAATTGCTATTTTTCCTTTTTCCGACCATCAGCTGTTCTGCTGTGCCAGGAGATTTAGATTAGCTAGGAAGCAGGAAATGGTTGGATTTCTTGCTTTCTAGCTAGAGTTTAGATCTTCGGCTCAGCCGAACCTCTCTTAGGACTGAAGGTTCTGTTATTCAGTGCAGACTCACGGCAAGCAAATTTTATGTGGTAGACTGAGCTAGTCGATGGCAGATAGATAGATCACTGAATGATTCTGTCAGCAACTCAATCTGCCTGCCTGCTTTGTCAGATTTTGGGTAAAAGTTGCTTTTTTAAAAAATAACAAATTCAATATTTATATAAATGTTTATAATATTTACATACAAGCCATGCCCAGCCAGTCACATGACCACCATGCCACACCCACAAATTAGGCCATGCCCACAGAACCGGCTAGTGGTCCTTCGATTTAAAATTATGAGTTTGGTGGTCCCTGAGATCCAAAAGGTTGCCAACCTCTGGTCTAGTCCAGCCCCCTGCTCATAACTATATCATCTCAGACAAGCGACTGTCCAGTCTCTTCTTAAAAACCTCCAATGATGAAGCGTCCATGATGTCTGAAGGCAAGGGGTGTATATGTGTGTGTGTGTGTATGTATACATACACACACATATACACACATACATACACACAGACACGCACGCACGCACATATATGCACAAATATACTTTGTAATATGCTAACATTTGTTTGAGAGCCACTTAGGTATAGTGGTTAAGACACCAGGTAGAAACAAGATGGCAATGAGTTTTAATCCCACCTTGGCACAAAACCAGCTGGGTGACCTTGGGCCAGTCACTTCTCTCAACCACTTCTTGCCAAAAACCTTGCCAAAAAAACCTGCAAGGACTTGGCCAGGTAGTATTCGAAAATTGGACACTATTGAACGCAAGTGGGGGAGGGGGGGCATTAGTTCCTTAACACAAAAAGCCATCCCTGATATGAGTTATTGCACTTGCAGTTCCTCTTGGTACCTAGAACCTACGAAAGCAAACATATTACCTTAGATTTGACTGCAAAATGTGCAGAATATATTGGGTCTTCAGAAAAGACACGTATAGGTTCCACGGTTAATCATACAAAATATATAGGTGTCACTATAGACACAGCCGTTCGTAAAATATACCTGAAATCGTTGCCCTAAAAAAAAAAAAAACTGTCCGTAATAAAAATCGAGCGTCCAATTCTTATCCGCAGGCAAAATTGCATTCATAGTATTAAACACCCATAGCGGTAGTTAAATTCCGTTTTCTACCCTCGCGCTCCACCTTCTCTCCACCGGTTTTTGAACCCGTGTCCTGAAAAGAAAACCCCCAAGGAGCTGCACGGGCGTGCGGGGCTCAGCCGTTCGCCGGTCACAGACGCCCTAAGCCAAACGAAGGTTTGCTCGGAGGAAAACCTGCTAGGAACCGAAGGCCCTCAAGCACAGAAGCAGGACCTTCGCCGACGCCCGGCTCTTCTGCACCAAGCACATTCTCCGCATTCAACGAAACGCGCAGCCCTGCAGGCGCTTTAACCTCCGCGGCTCCGACCGCCCTTCCTCAGCTAGCCAGGAGAAAAGACGCGCTCGCGCGGGCAGGCTTCTCCCTTTAGCCACGCCCCAAAGCCGCCCAACAGACCAATCCTGATCGGGGTACGTCACGTGGCGGCGGTGCCGTGACGCGAGGGGAACTCCTCCTTCCCCTATCCCCCACCCCCACCCCACCCCCAGCTCGCCCGCCTGCTCAGGAAGTGCCGCGGAGCATATGAACGCGCCTGGCTTTTACGTCTCGCTTCCCAGCCGCCGCGCGCGCACCTGCCGCGCGCCGCGCCGAGTGGGCCATGGGGGGCTCCTTGGCCCCCAACGGCTCCGCAGCTGTCACGCCCAAACTGGACCCTCGGCGAAGCGGCGGCGCTTCTTCTTCTTCCGCCTCCACGGTGAGGTCCGGGCCGGACTACCGCGGCTGCAAGAACGGCGCGCTGATGGACAGCTTCGGCATCTTCCTGCAGGGGCTCCTGGGGGTTGTGGCCTTCAGCCTCCTCCTGCGTGAGTGCTCCGTCCGACTCCGTGTGGGGTGTGGGTGTCTCTCTCTCTCTCTCTCTCACACACACACACACACACATAATGTTGCCGGAACCGCTGCTGTGGCCTCTAGCGGGCCGCCGCCTCCCTGCTCCGCTTCAGTTGGGGCTCCAAACCTTCGCCTCCCTGGGGCCTCTTCCCCGCTTTATGCTTATGCTTGCAGCCTTTCCCCCGCTCCCCGGTGCCAGTCTCTGCCCTGCTCCCTTAGTGAGGTCGTAACCCGGCCCAGCTCGCTGCCTTCTTCTTGGCGTCCCGGGTTTCCTTTCTCTTCCTGGAGTGCCCGCCCCTAAGAGGATAGGCCGGCTTTCCGGTGGTTTTTTTCCCCCGTGCCGGGTTGGGGGCCTGCGGGGCTTTGTTTGGCTCTGCGCGTCCCCTTCCTCTTCTCTGTTCCGGAAAAGGCTCGGTCATGCTTTCCACGCCAGTAGCCTAGCGGCTCGCAATACTGTACGTGAAGAACTAAGTGTGCTTTCGAAGGGGTCTCTCTATGTCTCTTAATTCCTGGGACACCTTACTTTATTTTTATTTTGTTTTTTATTTGTCAATTGCTTACAAGATAATAGGTATAAGTAAAAACATAGTTATGAATAAATGGATAAATATAAGAAAAAATATAAAAATATAAAAGAAACAAAAGGACAGGGGCGGTAGGCACGTTGGTGCACTTATGCACATGCTTATCCACATACTTATGCTCATACTTGTACCAGTGGGCTCCAGATCTAGAACTGTAAATGTAGATACAGGTATTTTCGGGGGGGGGGGGGGGGCTTGGTGGTCTCTGAGCTTGCTTGTTCTTTTGCAGGCGTTTCATTACCCTCACCAGGTAACAGCATCAGTTCTAGTAAGGAGTGCTGTTTGCTTTATATTCTGGCGACTTACCTGTCTGTGTGCGTGGAGGCGGTCTTAGGGATTCCTTGTTTGGGCTGTTTACTAATGACTCTTTGGCAGTTTCTTGATTGGGTTATTGTTTACTTGATTGTTGGTCTGAAGTTGACCTTGGAGTTAATGATCTATGCTGATCTGAGTGCTGATTACTGGTGAAGAGGTGCTGGAACCTCTCTGTCTCTTTTGGTCTGGTTGATTATCTCTTTTGCATAGTCTATAGATGTTAATGTCTATGTGTCTATCGATGCCTGATTTGTTAGAGTGCCAGGCCTCTAGAAATTCCCTGGCATTTTCGGATTTGGCCTGGCCTAGGATTGTCACACTCTCCTTTTTACCTATCCTTGTGCCCATTGTCTGGGGATGGGAGAATTGTGGAAAGGAATTGTTAATTGAATTTTTTTTTGAAAGACCAGACTGGTTCACTGGATTTAAATATTTGCCAAAAACAAACTGCTGTTGCTCTTTTCCACTCAGCTGATTTATTTGGAAATAATGGCTGGTAGAACTTCTGTATTTAATCAATGTGTTTACATTCCGGTATGAATAATTGTGTATATGTTTGACATAGTTTATAAGAAAGACATGGCTGGATATGGAGCTTTGATTGACAATACTGTTTCATTTTCAGTTTAAGGATTATCTCGCATGACTTTTGGAAGTGTGTTACTTGGTACATAGGCTATTTAAAATATGTTGGAATGTTGGAATGACTATATTCTAACATTCTGGCACGTTGTTTTCTTATCTTTTGGACTTATTTGGGTCATCTTTATTAGAAACATTTTCAGGTTTTTTGTTTTAGAGGTTTCCAGCTTAGCAGAATGATTCATGCTAAATAAAAAGTCTTTTTATGGTTTATACTAGTCCCAGAGCAGCAGCTTTTAGCTTTCTGTTTGGATCTGAATTATGAATAGTCAGTAATAAGTGGAAAATCATTTACAGGCAGTCCTCAACTTACAACAGTCCATTTAGTGATCATTCAAAGTTACAACATCGCTGAAAAAAGTAACTTATGACCATTTTTCACACTTACAACTGTTGTAGGATTCCCGTGGTCACGTGATCAAAATTGCAGTGTCCTCTGGTCATGTGATCACCTTTTGTGACCATCTGACAAAGTCAGTGGGGAAGCCAGATTCACTTTAACAAATATGTATCTAAGGTAACAATTGTTGTGATTCACTTAACAGCTGTGGCAAGAAAAATCATACAATGGGACAAAACTCACTTAACAAATGTCTTGCTTAGCAACAAATTTTGGGCTCAATTGCCATAAGTCAAGGACTACTTAGTTTTATTTTATGTGTTTGTAATTTTATAAGGCTCATAAGAAGGTATATAAAGTGTTTTGAAGAATATTTGTTTTTTGTCTCTGCTTTTTGTTTGTTATGCAAACAAAATGACTTATAAGCAGTGAAATTGTAGCTGATCATATATAGAACGTATATCATTACTTAGGCTTTAGGTCACTACATACAGAAGAATTTTGCATCATGACATCACTGTGCATGTTTTGTCATGTTCATACAGTCTCAGTTTCTTACAGATGACTGTGGTGTCATTAATAAAATTTAACAGGCCATGTAAAGAATTCTATTTTTAATTTTGCAACATTCTTAATTTTAGTATTAAGTTGAAAATTAATGGGATTTGTAGTAAAATGTTACTGTATAAATTGTTTCTGTTCAATTTCCATCCATCCATCTCTTCTGTCAATATTCCTTCTCCCTCTCAAGAATTATATGATTAAATGAGAATACTTAGTCATCAACATGGTCTTTTTTTAAAATCTCAGTTTCTTTGGGTCTTAGCCATTTCTCCATTTTCCATGAATAGTACTACCAGTTCATAAGGCTTGGGATTGTTGTTACTTAGTGTGAACATACATAGGCTTCTTGATTTATTCTAGACATTCTTTTTTAGGATTTTTTTCAAAAACTTATTAGTAGTTCCTTCAAGCAGGCAATACTTCTGGAACACATAGCTCTGGTCATTTTCACTACGTAAGTGCTATTACTTAAAAAAATGAACTAGATCTGTTTTGATGATTTTTAATTTTCAAACCTCAGATAAGAATATTGTTTTTAAAAAGGTCATTTACGGACATATTTATAAAATACAATAGGCTTAGTGTATGTTTAATGATGGATAAAAATAGGTTGCCAATGAAATTATTGATATAGACTTTGTAAAGGCAATGAGATATGATATAGTTTCTATTAATTTTCTGAAAGAGAAAACCATTCATACTAATTGAACTTTCAAGGGTTATTTTAAAGTTTTTTTTTTTAAAGAAATGTATAAGGACCATGGACAGCTCCTCACCAGTATTGATTTTATTTGGGGTGTGCCAGATAAAAATACCAGTAATTATTTTTTTCACCAGAAGATTCTGGTTTAGGGATAGACAATCAATGGCTATTGAGTATTCATTTTCAAAAATCTATATTCAGAAACATTACTCTTTAACTAGTAAGTCCAGCTTTTCATTAGTTTTGCAATTTGTAAAACAGGCCAGATGAGGCATAGAACAACACTTTTAATGCACAGTATATATTGCTAATCACCGCATCAGGTACCAATAAGCTTAGGAATCATTGTTCTCTAAAAAGATAAGCATGGAAAATATTAGCTGTTAATTAGGTCTGTGTTGGTAGAATGCTATGTAATAGCCAGTAGTAGGAGTTAGCCTACATACATAGTCAAAATATGATGGGGGGGAAACTTTGAGGAAATCCCAGAGCTAATGGCAAGACTGGAAAACTTTAAAAAACATGCTGGAAGAAAGCAAGAGCAACCCATCTCTTCGTTATGACCAAGAAAATAGAGATATGTTTATAAAGTCAACAGGAGTTGAATTTCTCTTAGCAAAACTTTATTTTTTCAGAAGAATGTCTTAGGTAAGGGAATTCCCTGTCCCATTGCTTAATAAGAAATATATGCTTCTTAAAATGGTGCATTGAAAATATATTTATATAGTAGTTATTTGTGAAAACTGAAATAGATGTTTCTGCTTCTTTCCTTCTGGAAATTGAACTACTGATAGTTGTTCTGTTCACAAATAAAGAGTATAAGGATATACTTTGAGAAAAAAAGTGATAATCTAGATAAGGCGTGTCAAAATGGATTTCTTCAAGGGCTGGATCAGCATTGTAGTTCTCCTCTGTGGCCCAGCAGCAGCAGGTGGTGGGATGGAGGTAGGGTGGCAGTGGTGGGGGGAGCAGGGTGGCGGGATGGATGTCCATTTTTGTGACTCATTTTTGCCCTCCATGGCCTCCTGAAGCATTCTGATGACTGAAAACAGGCTGTGACGGCCATTTTTGGCCTGTTTTTGGCCAGGAGTACTGCAGGAGACCATGGAAGGTGAAAATGAGGTGTGGGGGCTCTGCATGCGGCCCACTTTAGTCGCCAGAGGCACTGCAGGCCATTCCCTTGATATTTCCAGGCCAGTCTCATGGGCCGGATTTAAGCACCTCCAGAATTCCTAGAAGCCTGGCATTCTGACAAATCAGCCATAAACAGGCTTACAAACAACATCTATATACTGTTCAAAGGAGATAATCAGTAAACCAAAAAGACCAGTCACATCTTCACTAGCCATCAATACCTGAATGAGCAGGGATTAACACCAATTTTAGACCAACAATCAAGAAGCAGACCCCAATCAGGGAACTGCCAAACAAGCTAACAATAAACAGCCCAACCAAAAAACCTCCAAGACCACTCCCGCTGACATTGACAGGGCAAGCCATTAGAATATAAATTGAGAGCACATCCCATTCCTCACTAGCACTGATGTTACCTACTTTGGGTGATAAAACATCTGCAAGAAAAAAGCAAGCTTGAGAACGCCAAGGACCCCTCATTTCAACCCTGAGCTACAAGTGTAGATTGATCTGTACATTCCTAAAATGGAATGAAAAAATGAATGTGTATATTAAAATACTGCCTTAAAGACTAGAGTTAATCCTGAACAGTTTGTTGAAACATAGACTACAGACCTAGCTGGTAAACACAATGCAGGAAAGAATGAGAAATGAGAAAATGGCCCTTTAGCAAACTACTCGCGGTTAGGTAGG